CGCAAACTGCGTTCTTTCCTTGGTCTCGCATCGTACTACCGGAAGTTTGTGCTCCGATTCTCTATTGTTGCTGCCCGTTGTCCCGACTGACAAGTAAGAATGTACCTTATGCATGGGATGCAACATGTGAGACCGCACTTCAAGCCTTGAAAGAGGCCTTGGTAAGTGACCCCGTGCTCCACATTGCAGATTCCAAACTAACATTCGTAGTCACTACGGATGCTAGCCAGTATGGGATTGGCGCAGTGCTACAACAAGATGACAGCAATGGCTTGCGGCCACTCGAGTACTACAGCAAACGCATGCCCAGCGAAAAGGTAGCTACTTCCACCTACATGCGCGAGCTCTATGCTTTGCGTACGACTTTGGATCACTGGAAGCACTATCTTTTGGGATGCCACTTCAAAGTGTTCTCAGATCATGAGACCTTGAACTGGATCAAAAAGCAAAATACCTTGTCCCCTATGTTACTTCACTGGTTCCATGAGATTGACATTTTTTATTTTGAGCTAAGATATAAAAAGGGTTGTTATAATCGAGTTGTTGATGCATTGTCTCGCCAACCCGAGTACATGACTTGCCTTGTGAATTCCTACGACCTCTGGAAGAAACTGAAGGAGGAGATCGTAGAGCACACTGCCAAGGACCCAGACCTTAGTCCCATCCTTGAGCAGTTGCAGGCTGACCCCAACAGTCAGCCTGATTTTCACGAATATGGAGGATTAGTTTTCCGACGCTATGGGAATAACGACCGTTTGTGTGCGCCCAACCATGAGCCTCTCCGCACACACTTCTTGGATTTGGCTCATGGCCGGAGTGGACACTTCGGCATGGCAAAGACGTACGAAAACCTATTAAAACAGTCTCATTGGCCTGGTATAAAGGGATCTGTCGAAAAATTTATGGTTGAGTGACAAGTCTGTCAACGAATCAAACCATGTAGACAAAAGCCCATGGGGCTACTTACACCCCTTCCCATTCCCAATGGATCTGGGGAGTCTGTCTCTATCGACTTCACCGACATGGGAAAGGTAAGTAAGAACGGTGATTGTTGACCGCTTCTCTTAATTCCTCAATCTGATTCCTTTGCCATCTCATGCCCCAACTGAATTGGTGATCCGTGAGTTCGGACACAAATACATTCTGCGGTTCGGAACACCGGAAACTCTTGTGAGTGATTAGGACCCTCGCTTCGTAAGTACCGAATGGAAGGACTTCACATCCCAACTCCCTGGCCTCAGTGTATGCATGGCATCTGGACGACATTCCGAAGCCAATGGTTTGGCTGAGGAAATCAATCAGACTGTGTTCCAACTTCTTCGCGCTTTAGTTATTCCAGATCATGAGACGTGGGATGAAGAGCTGTATTCCGTAAAGGGGTTTGTACAACAACTCCATTCATTCTTCCACCAGCATGATGCCAAACAGGCTGCATTACGGTTGGCAAATTCGTAATCCGCTCTCCTACCTATTCCTTGAACAGCCAGCTGGTTTAATACCCGGCAGGCCAAGCTTCAGGGCCAAGTACGATCGCTTGCTCAAAGTTGTCATCGCAACAATGACCAAGTGACAACACTCAATAATCCATCATGTGAACAAGAAGCGCCGACCTTAATATATCGAAGTAGGAAGTTATGTGTGGGTCAAGATGTCTGAATTCTCGGAAGAAGAGGGAGTCTCACAAAAAACTTTTTCCGCTCTATTATGGTTTGTGGGAAGTTCTGGATGTGATTGGCAAAGGTGGGTTTGGCCCCTCGTACACAGTTGTTGTGCCACCTCATTTGCGCACATACCTCGTTTTTCATGCATCAAACTGTATATCCACTCCTTCGATTACCGTGAAGACATGATCCCTCGTGCAATCAATGGCGGTCATGAGATCGATAGAATCAAACAGCACGTAGGAAAGGGATGTGACAGACAGTACCAGGTTCACTTTATGTATCACCCATTGGACGGTCTCTATCCGATCTCCAAGAAGGAACTGCTGCGCAGCGCTCCTCGCGTTGTTAAAGCCCACGAACGACAAATCGCCTCTAATGTTGTTCCCAAAATCTGCAAAGCTCACTGCGATAGCGTACTCTCGAAATCTCTTTGCTTTATTTGCTTACGATAAGTTTGTCGGGGACCTCGCTCTTAAGCGGGGGGTACTGTGATGACCCGACCAAACACGGACTGAGACACAACTGATTTATGAGTTTTGCTCATGGACTGAATGCCTTGCTGAGTTTCCCTCTTGCTACTAAGTTCTGCATGTCTGTGTGTGTGCACGCTTGCTGGGGTGCATGTCTTTCTGAGTGCTGGTTGGCTAGTGTGTGTGTGTGACCCGCAAGGGCACGTGTTCGTTCGTTGGGGCCTTAGGCCCGGTACTTAGTTGTGGTTGTGACATTGAGGATTGCAGCGGGGGAAAACACTCAAGTGGCGGGGGAAGAGGCCCACAACACTTGAAGCAGTGGGGAAACGCTCAAGTAGCAGGTAGGCCAGTACCACACCCTGAAGAGGTAGATGTGCCAAGTACTCGAGGCCGAGCAGAAGAAGACAAAAGTGGCATTTTTAGAGGCTGTTGCATACCGTAACGGTGCAGACCAGAACAAGAACCGACCTCTCTCACATAGTACAGGATAGCGCAGCGGAAGGCTAAAATACCAATGATCAGACCAATCAATGTCGCAATGCAGACCAAACATATATCATCATCATTGCAAGGTGTGAAAGGGCCTGGCGCTACACATAGGAAGAATGCGCCAGGCTCAGATCATACACAAATGAAGAGGAGGGGGATCAGACGAAGAAGAGGGGGAAGATGGGACTGTCGCCACACAAATGTGGTCGATATCGATCCCAAAAAGTCTCCCGCCAATGTCTCTATACCAAAGTCGAGTCTGTGTCCAAATGTTGTCAACATCCCAAAGTCACAAATCTCTCGTAGTAGTAGTAGTAGTAGTAGTAGTAGTCTGTCAATACGGAGAAGTCAGGTAGTTGGAGGGGGAGGGAGAGATGGTGGATTGGAAGAAGAAGAAGAAGAAGAACTCACTCTCTCTCTTTCTCATGGTGCCGGTACTGACCTGTGAAGGTGGCGCCTTGCTGCAGGTACCTCAAAGACGAAGCTAGAGCAATGGCGATACAGGTAAGCGCCCAGGTAAGTCTCTGGCCTCCGCCATTCTCCTCTCTCTCTAACAGTACTCTAAGCACACAACAGTGAAGACTATTCCTAGCTACTACTACTGCAGCGCTCCGCAGAGTGTTGTTGCCGCATCCTGAAGACTACCTCCTAGACTGCCTCCTACCTGCAGGTTGCAGGGCGGACCAATACTATATAGTGCTGGTTCGGCTGGGAGGCTGCTCTTGCCAATGCCGAATCGTGCCAGACCCTAGCGCTGAAGTTAAAAAAAAAGGTTGTCTTGAAATAGGCCTAAAAGTGGCCTGCGCTTATCCCTGGTCTGGCGCCTAAGTTTAAGGAAAGGTCGACTTTATGAGGGCCTGAAAATGGCCCTCCCTTTTAGGCTTTTAGGCTGAAACGACAAAGGGCCTGGAGGGCCCTTATTCTGCCCAGTCGGGTCCTGCAGGCCTGTATGGTGCGCAGTATGCCACACCCCCCCCGTCCTTGAAAGACCGAGCTTACCTGCGAGGGCGAAGCTGCCTGTCGGAGGGGGGACCGAAGTTCGGGTGGGAGGGGCAGGTCGTGAAGCTTCCTTAGCTAGTCTTTGTCGTTCGTAGTGGGCGTAGATCAAAGGTGCGGATGCTTGCAAATCTGCTCATGAAATTCATCAAGTGTCATTAGGATCGCATGCTTTGAAGGTAACTTTGTACTGTTGAGGCTTGTTGCCGTACTTGAGATCTGTGATGACGCGGCCGACTTCCTGATGACCATCCACGGAAGGAGGGTCTTGCGATCGTAGGCCCAGGAAATCGTCGCTCTTAGCCGGTATATATGTCGCCAGTTTTGAGGCGTGAAAGACTGGGTGGACCGGCTGATGCGGAGGGATGTCGATGGGTCGTTGGGCTTGTCGCCTGCGGCTGAAAGGACGGTCCACGGTCCAAACCACTTGGGGAGTAGCTTGCGTGAAACATCTTGTTCGAGCGCAAACTCTTCCACGGAGACCCAAACCAGATCGTCGGCGCGGATGGACATGGCACGTGACGCCTGTTGGCTTGCTGCTGCATGCGGACTTGAGCCTTGTGCATGTTCGCACGGGCTTGCGTCAGCAATTCCCTGTACTTTCGGACGGAGGCGGGAGAGCAAGTGGCGTCTATGTCGGCAGTTCGTGCGAGAAGATCAGCGAAGATACGGCCTTTCCGTCCACCGTGGTGCAACTTGAATGGAGTCACGCCGATCGCCGGATGCAACAAAGTGTTGTAGGCGAACTCAATGTCGAGGAGGCGGTCAACCCAATCCTTCCGATCCGGACGGATGAGCGTATGAAGCATCATTTGAGCAGTTTGATGTGCTCTCTCCGTTTGCCCGTCTGTTTGTGGGTGTCGAGCTGAACTTGGTTTCATTTCAGTGTCGGACTCCTTCATTAGGGAAGTCCAAAATACCGACATGAACCGAGTGTCTCGGTCGCTGACGATGTCTTCCGGAACACCGTGGCTGCAAATCCAGTCGGTGTGCAAGAGCCGCGTGAGCTGGGAGCCGTGGCGTAGTACTTGCATGGAAGAAACCACATGAACTTACTCAAACGGTCAACGACCGTGAGGATGTCATCGTGCCCGAGGTGGTCGCGGGGAAACGGGTCGGTGACGTCCATAGCAATGGAGAGGCCGGGTTCCCGGGCAATAGGCAACGGGCGCAACTCGCCATAGGGATTGCGGTTGCGGAGCTTGCTTCGTTGGCAAACTTCGCAAGAGTCCCAATACCGAGTGACATCGGTGATGACGTCGGGCCACCGAAATCGTTGTTGAAGTCGTGCAATAGTCCGATTGACTCCGAAATGGCCGGTGAGTCGCGAATCATGGCACTCGTTGAGAAGGCGAGTTCACAAACAGAGGTCTCGTGGGACGCAGAGTAAGTTCTTGCCTCGCGAGTGGAGAAGCAAGTACCCGTCGACGATGCGATAATTGCTGGCCAGCGGGTGATCTGAAGATAGTTGCACATATAGCGTGGCAAAATCCGGATCGGACTGGTAGACCCGAATGAAATGCCGCTGGAGTTCCTCGTCGAATGCAAAGGCATGATGTGTCATAGCGCAAAGATCGGGTCTTCGCGAGAGTGCATCTACTGCACGATTGGAGAGGCTGGCGAGATGTTTCAGTGTGAAGTCAAATTGGTCGATGAAATACATCCATCGCCCGATAGTGCTGCTCACAGTGTCTTGCGTCTTGTAGTAGGTCAACGGGTTGTTATCAGTGACCCATGTGAACCTACGACACCCAAAGAGGAAGTGTCGCGATTGCTTGAGAGCCATCACGAACGCGAGCAACTCCTTTTTCCTTGCATCATCAAGTGAGTTGATGGGAGGCACCTTGTGGCTGAAGTACTCCACGGGATGCCAGTCGTCACCGTCATGTTGTTCCAAGACTGCCCCAATCCCATAGCCGGAGGCGCCGGTTGTCACTCTTGTTGGCAAGGTGGGGTCGTAGATGCTAAGGACGGGCGCCATGAGCATGACCGTCTTGAGTGCTTGGAATGACCGGCACGCTTCGTCGTCGAATGCGAATAGCACCTTTCGCGGTTGTAGTCTCGTCAATGGTGCGACAATTCGTGAGTACCTGGTGATGAAGCGTTGGTCGTAGCCTACCAACCCCATGAATGAGCGAACGTCCGTGGTGTTGGTGGGCTCGGGCCATACGCGGATGACCTCAATCTCGTCCGCGAGCGGACGGATGCCTTGAGGCATCACATAAAAATGGCCCAAGTATTCAAGCTCCTGCCCAAGTATTCGAGCTCCTGCCGCGCGAATTCACATTTGTCGCGGTTGGCTTTGTACTTGGCTTGTCGTAGCCGCTCCAAAACGATGCGCAGGTGCTCCACATGCTCGTCCAAACTCCGGCTGTACAAGATATCGTCGAGGTATATGAGTACAAATTTGTCCAGCATGTGTCAGAACTTTGTCATCATAGCCGCTTGGAAAGTGTCCAGGGCATTTGTAAGGCCAAAATGCATAACTGACCATTCGAAATGCCCATATCGCATCTTGAACGCAGTCTTGCAGCGGTCCTGCCGGATCTCGAGTTGGTGATATCCCAATTTGAGGTCAAGCTTGGAGAAAAATTTTGTGCCGCACAGCCGTTCGAGGAGGTCGTTGATGCGCAGAAGAGGGCCGGCGTTCTTGACGGTTTGCGCGTTGAGCTTGCGATAATCGATGCACAACCGCAAGTCCTTGTTCTTCTTCCGGACGACGAGAACGGGAGCGCCGTATGGTGAAGAGCTAGGCCGAATTATGCAGAGGTACGGCCCCGGCCTCGAGGACGATCTCGTGGCGGATTGGCCGATCCGGTACGACTTCGTGTGGGGCTCGAAAACGCCAGCATAGGCGTCGAGAAGCTTTGTGATGCGTGGGTCCGTCGATGCGTCCGTCGATGGGATATCATGGGGAGGGAGGGCGTGGAGAAAACACACACCCATCTCCTCGACGTCATCCCGGGTGATGGCAGCTCGAATGCTCGCGGCGGACACCATGTGACAGCTGATCGAACACTGAGGTGGAGGCACCGTGCACGAGACTAGTACTCCGTTCCGATCACGAATGTGAACGGTGTGGCGGTAGAAGTTCACCGGCTGATCCTCACTTTCCAGCCACGACATGCCCAAGATCATGTCAAACTTGGTGTCCAAAATGTCGAAGGACACGACCTTGCTTGCATGAGGGGCGAAGTACACGGGGACGGAATCAATGCATCGGTCGATTGACTTGTGCGTGTGACCATCGGCCACTGTGACTTGCGTGGGCTGCAACTTCCTCCAAACGCTTGGCCCCAGACCAACATGTACCATAAAATACTGGCTCATATAGTTACGAGTAGCGCCGCAATCGATCAAAGCGCTTCAGGTCACTTCTCCGATCTGAATGCGTACGTACATTAATGGTGCGTCGTTGGTGTTGTACCGTTGTGTCTTGAACTCGCGGTCGATCTTCGCAATGTAGTCGCGCAGGTTAACAACCTCTACTCCGGCGTCCATCAACGGAGCTGGTATTGCAGTGTGCAAGTAATCCCGCAATTGTGCCATGAGCACATTGCAATGCGGTTTCGGCAATCGACCGGTCGGGGGAAGGGGCATCCGTTGGAAGTCCGCGAACGACAATGGGTCGAGTTTCTCAAGTCTTGACCATGACGTCGAATCCCCAGCTAAAGTTGGCGGCGAAGCTGCCGAATCAGTTGCCGATGGTGTTGAAACCGTGCATGCGGTGGAGTCTTGCATGTGGAGTGGCTGGTCCAACGGTGGGACCAAGTGGACAACATAATCCTCGTAAGTGAACCGAGGACTTACATCCACATTCTCACCAGATGTGTAGGAGGCCGCTAGCAAGGCGGCCGAATCTGGTGGAGTGAGAGGTGGAGTCGCCTCACCTCCCGCGCAACTCAGTTTTACGAGTTGATTCGAGGTTGAACATCCTTCTTGCCTTGATCTTGGCATTGGGAGGTCTTGTGCTTGGTGTTGTTGCACCAATAGTTGCAGCCGTATCGGCTGCGGTACTTGTATTCGGCCTTGGTCAAGCTGAACTTGACCCATGATACTGGCTATCCATTTTCGGCCGGCGATGCTATTTTCTCCTTCCCTTTTCCACAGGAGTTGTAGTTGCTTTGCGGCTCGACGGCGGCCACTTGATCTCCCTCACGTGATGTTGGGGTGACTGCTGGGTCTTCCAAAAGGTTGTCCGGTTGGACTGCAGCGACAGGCTGCGGACGCGGACCAAATTTTCCATAGGCTGGCTGCCATGCTAATTTCTTGTGTGCAGCAGCCCGGTTAGTCTTGATGATCTCACGAGCCTTGTCGATGATTTCGGCGAAGGTCGTGTATTGTTCGCGATCACCAAGTGCGAGGCTCAAGGTGGCACACGACCGCTTGTAGAACTCTCGGCGCAGATGCGAAAATGGCAAGTTGAGATTGGGTGTTGCCACGATCCCGTGAGTCAGTCGCGTGTCGGTGTGTTGCCTTGAGTCATGGTGAAGAGGCAGTTGATGGCGAGCGTCGGGGCATCGTCAACTATGAACCGCTTCTTCCATTCCCTCGTCAGATCTTCCCAAGAGATCTTTTTGTGCAGGTCGGCGACCTGGACGCCGTGGA